CCACAGTGAGATGATTTTATTCTCGTGACCAACATCAGCTAATTGTTATTTACTAACTACTCTTGAAATGACTGTTCGGTACAGAAATGAAGCCCAACAATCATGTTTTACAGTCCTGTGGTCTCAGCCTCAACTAATCAAAGTGATGTCATGACAAAAATGAATGACCAACAAAAATTTTTTCTCCTTCATTTCTGTCAAACAAAGCTGTATGTGACGTTTCTCGCTGTTAGTATCATGGTTGCTAGGCAACCTGAGCAGCACGGCGAAGGCTAGACCGTCCCATTTCACAAGCCTCTCACTTCCGCACTTCTCGTACTTATAGTACGCGTAGTGCACGTAGTGCATGTACTTCAAGCGTGCAGACCCTGAATTGGGACACAGGCAAAGACTAGTGAGCCTCACTAAAAGCCTGCTGCAGGTATGCTTTCATCCACACCTGACTAAGGGTGAGTTAGCACCAGCTGAACTCACTGAGGAGATTAGGGGCTGCAAAGGGACGTAACAATGACTATATTATAAAATAATGATCATTTCCAGTTGATAAGAATCACGTTTTAGCCTCTCAAGTTGTGAATGTTGTAAATAGCTGTGAAGAAAAGCTTCATCCAGACGATTGATAAAATGTCAGTATCACCTTGTGGAGGAGAACGCTTCACCTTCTCCACTCTGAGGTTAAATTTGAGGAAATCCAGGGAAAACAGACAACGCACTGTAGCTCCTGAAAATTCTCCTGTTTGTTTTCTGTTTATTTACTTATTTAGTTACTAATAATTGTTCTTTGCTTCTTTTCTCACAGTTACCTGCTGAACCCGTTCACCATCTTATCCTGTGTCGCCAAGTCGACCTGTGGCCTGAACAACGCCGTGCTCGCCCTCTTCTTCCTCTCCACAATAAAAGGTACACTTCAGATCTTCGTCTCATGTTTGTGTCCAAGCAGGAAGTGACTGTTTCCTGCTGATCCCATTCGTTGGCTCTGCTGAAGCTTTTTTTAAAATTACATCAGAGGAACGTGAACTTTGCTTTTATTTAAATGTCGTTTTTTAGAAGTTTGCTGTGGTTTTATCAGGTTCTAAACAATTTGCCTTCTCTTTGTTTTTTCAGGAAATGTCTTACTGAGTGCCATATTCCTCTGCTTGGCCACTTATCAGTCCATCTATCCCATCACCCTGTGCGCACCTGCCATGCTGTATTTTATGCAGGTTTGTCGTCTATGAATGGAAGCAGATATTTCATTGTTTTAAATGTTTTATTTTCTCTCTGCTCTCACTTTTCTTTTGTCTTTTCCTTTGCTTGTTTGTTTCTGTTCCTTCGAGCATCATTGCTGGGATTTATCCACCTCCCTGTCTCTGCTCTTCCAGCGTCAGTACATCCCAGTGAATTTCCG